AACTGCCCCTACCATTAGGCCATGTGGGGAACATAGCGCTAGCCGGCAGGAGACTCCCACACCATATGTGCCTATGGCAGAGGTTGCAGGCCGGTGTCTAGATAGCTGCCCAGAGACCGCTTGTATTAGGATCTCTCTAGACACCTCCCTCACAGGCGTGGCCGATGAATTGAAAGAGAGGATGCCCGCCTGGGCCAAGATGAAGAAAGAAAATAAAGGGCAGCTGATTTTACTAGATACAGAGATTTTTAGAGCTAGAGTAAGGGCCCTAGTAGACTCAGGGGCCACCCGCAGCTCTATCAGTAGGAAAGCGCTGCAGAAGTTAAGGCTGGGACTTAAAGTCCAGAAATTGACAGACCCCATAGTTAGTATCCTCGCAAACAATCGTACCATGGTTGTAGAGGATTACGTAGAGGGTGTCCAGGCGTATTTCCGCCTAGAGAAAGATGGGAAAGTGGAGAAGATCCTCCACTCCCTGACTCTCCTCGTAGAAGACAACCTCCCATTTGATATTGTTCTGGGAATGGATTGGGGAGAGGCGGTCGAGGCCACGCTCCATTTGAAGGAGCACGAGTGTAGGCTCCCTAGTTCGTCAGGCGAGGCCCAGACTGCCCGCCTGTTCCATGTGTCAGGAGTAGAGAATTCCTTGGCGCATTGCTGCCTTAGTGCCCCCGCGTTCGCCAGACTGGTGAAAAGGGAGAAGTTGGAGGAACAGGTTTTTTGTTGCCTATGTTAGGCCAACGGTTGAGCCTACGAAAGAAAGGCCGATGGACCCTGCGATTGCCAAGCTGCTGGAAGAGTTTAGAGATTTGACTGAGCCACCGACAGGCACGGTGCCGCGGCCCATCCAGCACCGTATTGAGATAGAGCCTGGCAGTAGAACTCCTAAGGGTGCGGTGTACAGGATGTCCCCGCGGGAGTTAGAGGAGCTTCGCAAGCAATTAGACGAGCTCCTCAAGAAGGGTTGGATTAGGCCCAGTTCGTCTCCTTTCGGAGCGCCTGTCCTCTTTGTTCCTAAGAAAGAGGGAGAGCTGAGAATGTGCATAGACTATAGGGGTCTGAATGCCATTACAGTGAAGAATGCTGAGCCACTGCCTAGGATAGACGATCTCTTAGATCGAGTGCAGGGGGTGAAGTATTTCTCCAAGATAGATTTGAAGTCCGGATATCATCAGATAGAGGTGCATCCTGATGATCAGTATAAGACAGCCTTCCGGACTAGATATGGGCACTACGAGTTCATAGTGATGCCCTTTGGACTAACCAATGCGCCAGCTACGTTCCAGCGCTGCATGAACGATTTGTTTAGGCCGTGGTTAGACAGATTTGTTGTAGTTTACTTAGATGACATCTTAGTGTTTAGCCGGACCCTCGAAGAGCATCAGGGTCATATCAGGCAGGTCTTGGAGAAGCTGAGGGAAGCTAACTTCAAGATCAATGCAAAGAAGTGCGATTGGGCGAAAACCTAAGTTTTGTACCTAGGCCACATCTTAGACGGAGACGGCGTTAAGCCAGAGGATAGCAAGATCGCAGCGATTACAGATTGGCCCACGCCACGTACGCTGACAGAGTTGCGCTCGTTCCTGGGCTTAGCTAATGACTACCGGAAGTTCGTAAGGAACTTCTCCACCATCGTTGCGCCCCTTCGCAGATTGTTGAGAAAGGAAACTATCTGGAAGTGGGATAAGGACTGCACATCTGCCATGAAAAAGTTAAAGCAGACATTGATAGAGTATCCAGTCCTTAAAGTCGCCGACCCGTCCTTGACCTTTGTCGTCACAACTGATGCGAGTCAATACGCCATAGGCGCAGTGTTACAGCAAGACGATGGCAATGGCTATAGGCCCGTAGAGTTCATGTCTGCCAGAATGCCTTCAGAGAAGGTCGCGACATCTACCTATGAGAGGGAACTCTACGCTCTCAGGCAAGCCTTAGACCACTTGAAGCACTACTTGCTTGGGAGGCACTTCAAAGTCTATTCAAATCATGAAACGTTACGATGGTTAAAGACGCAGGCCAAGATGACACCTAAGCTTACCAGGTGGGCCGCAGAAATAGATCAGTACGACTTCGAGCTCAAGCCTGTTAAAGGGAAGTACAACGTAGTCGCGGATGCTCTGAGTAGGAGGGCAGATTACTTCAGGGCAACAGTGCACTACCTCGATATAGGGAAGGACCTGCAACAGAAGGTTAGAGAGGCCTATGCGCAGGACCCTATCTATAGTGAGCTCCTTAAGAAGGTCAAGGAGGCCCCAGAGACTGAACCGAACTACCGCACAACTGAAGGGCTTCTCTTTGAGAAGACTAATGTATTTGACCGCCTGTGCATTCCCAATAGCGAAGAGATTCGTAGTCTGATTTTGGGCGAATGCCATGACACAGAGGGTCATTTTGGTTGGCAAAAGACCTTAGCCAATCTGATGCGCGCGTATACCTGCCCCGGGATGAAGAATGACTGTGTAGAGTATGTTCGCACTTGTAAGGTCTGCCTACACGCACCCCGTTAGGTCTTCTCAGACCCTTACCCATTCCGGACCAACCGGGAGACTCAGTGTCCATCGACTTCATGGACACTCAGGTCAAGAGCAGGCATGGCAAGAGCCAAGTCATGGTCATAGTTGACCGATTTAGTAAGTACGCAGTCTTTGTTCCTTTGCCGTCAGAGGCACGTACTGATTTAGTCATTCAAAGATTTTTTGACTGTTGGGTTAGTGAGAATGGAATCCCGCTGTCAATAGTTAGCGATAGAGATAGTCGCTTCACCAGCCAGAACTGGCAAGAACTCATGGGATTATATGGGTCCAAGTTGTTGATGTCGTCCGGCCGTCATCCAAAGACTAACGGTCAGACAGAGCAAATGAACAAGATCCTACAACAAGTTTTGCGCATGTATATTAGACCAGATCAGATTAACTGGGATGAGATGTTGCCCAAAGTAGCTAGTGCGTACAATAACAGCGTGCATTTTTCTACATGCCACACTCCCAATGAACTGCACAAGTCCTTTAGACCACGCAGGGACTCAACCGGGACCAGATTCAGCCGCCCGGGACCAGGGAGTTTGCTGTACAGCACGAGAAAGAACTAGCTACTGTTGTCGAGAACCTCAGGAAAGCCCAGCATAGGATGATAGAGCAAGCGAACAAACACCGTCGCCCTTCACAGTTTCAAATAGGCGACTTAGTCTGGGTTAGTTCTCAAGAATTTCCACCTGAGGAGAACATCTCGCAGAAGTTACTGCCCACATATAGAGGGCCGTGGCCTGTTCTGGAAGTCAAGGGCGGCGAAGATGACCGTCCTACACCATAGAGTTACCAGCACACCTCCACACTTACCCAGTTTTCCACGCATCGAAGTTACTACCTTGTCAGACAAGTGATCAGTTTCCATCCCGTAGATCTATGATTCCACCCGATATGGATGGAAGGTATGACATCGATGGCATAGTGGCTGAAGACGTATTCAGAACTGGAGGTAGGGGTCGTCCGCAGAAACAGTATAAGGGTCATTTTAGTTATCAGGAACCGGAAGACGACCGCTGGTTTACAAGATCTGAACTTCTAGAGACAGCTCCCGATATAGTCCGGGCCTACGAGAGACAGCAGAAGGGTAAAGGTCCTGCCTTGGACTGAAATTTTCTTGGAGGACCTCGAATTTAGGCCGGCGGGAGTGAAACGGTATTCACCAGTTCGCAGTAGCGAATGCAGATCCCAGGGCTCGATCCCGAGTTCCCCGTCTTACCTGTGTATAGTATCAGTGTCAACACGTAGACTTGAACCCGCGACCTGTAGGACCGCCAGTGGTAGGCAGGTTTTCGTAGGTCACAGTTGAGAAGGGAATCAAACTGTAGACTTGTAGGGTAAGAGTCTAGACAGTTCCGAAGTCGTAGCTGTAGGATGTCTGAAGGGTCAAGGTCGTAGCTTCTACTTACCTGAAAGGGCAAAGTCGTAGCTGCTACAGTACCGAAAGGCCAAGTAGAGGTTTCTAGAACTGGCCTTTCGGAGTCAGCCCCTGTTTAGGCCGAGGCAAGTGGGCAAGCGGTATAGGTCCACTACGCAGAGTCAGCAGTCCCAGGTAGCCCAGTCCGGTGCAGTCAAGCAAGTACCGTCTGGGACTGTGCACCTCGTGGGCCAAGGGATACAGGGCAGACCAACGCCGCACAGAAGTATAAATCAAGAGGCTGCGTCCAGCCATTCATTCATTCCTGCGGATGCCATGCGGAAGCGCTGCCTCAGCAGCTTGTGCGAGGAGGTCTGTAGTGCGCCCGAAGTCGAAGTGGGCAGTGAAGTGTAGTATAGCGATAGGGTAGTGGCAGCTAGCACTGCCATAGCTGTAGTACAGTGTGTGTGTGTGCTGCGTATGAACACTGAGTGTTGCGTGTGGGACATCCAGGGTGATCCAGCGTGCGAACAGTGAGTTGTGTGGGCGCAGAGCCGCCATAGCCAGTTGAAGAGAACTCTTATNAGAGTCAGCAGTCCCAGGTAGCCCAGTCCGGTGCAGTCAAGCAAGTACCGTCTGGGACTGTGCACCTCGTGGGCCAAGGGATACAGGGCAGACCAACGCCRCACAGAAGTATAAATCAAGAGGCTGCGTCCAGCCATTCATTCATTCCTGCGGATGCCATGCGGAAGCGCTGCCTCAGCAGCTTGTGCGAGGAGGTCTGTAGTGCGCCCGAAGTCGAAGTGGGCAGTGAAGTGTAGTATAGCGATAGGGTAGTGGCAGCTAGCACTGCCATAGCTGTAGTACAGTGTGTGTGTGTGCTGCGTATGAACACTGAGTGTTGCGTGTGGGACATCCAGGGTGATCCAGCGTGCGAACAGTGAGTTGTGTGGGCGCAGAGCCGCCATAGCCAGTTGAAGAGAACTCTTATCCGGTTACGATATCTTTGAGTACTGTGTGGGCGCATGTCGCCAGTTTGCTGTATCGCTGTTTGCATGCAAGACAAGTGTGAGTGATCCGAGTCTGATTGCACTACACATCGCCTACGGCCACACTCACCAAGCAGACCGCATGTATGTACCGCATAAGGCAGAAGACAAGCGCCAGATGAGCGCAACGTACCACAACTCCGATACCAAATTGCAAGGAAGATGAGCAATAGCGAACTTCAACAATCAAACAGCATCATACATATGAGTCCAGATAGTCGTGACCTCGAACCAAGAACAGAATTGCATCACGAGATTCACCAAATAAGAACACACCAAGAGTTCATAATTGACAGAGAGACGGTTAACGGGGGCCCAAATATTCGCCGTTTTCGTTGGCAATTGCGGTGTGAATTTCATCAAAATTTTTAAAAACAAATGATATGAGACTGTAGTGCAAACATAAAAAAGGAAACAGGCCAAAAAGAACGGAAAAAAAAAAAAAAAAAAAACACTATGAAACCCTAACACAAAGACACTGTCCGAGTCAAAATGAAGCGTCCAACGAATTCAACAAAATGCCAACTTTTTCATTATTGATCCAAACATGTCAAAACTGCACACATGACGTACCCTAAAGCACATGTATATCACACAAAAAGAAAAACATGAAAAAAAGCAAAAAATCAGCACAATAATAGTCCCATCATCATCATCAACGAAGAACCAGAGTTGATATCCTATCTGGCTCTCCGCGCCCAGACTACATGTGGCAGATCCTATCTAGCCTATACTACAATGCCAAAGTTGACGACAACAGCTCTCCCGAAGTACGAGCATACAGCGACCAATGTCGCACGCTTCCAGCACCAGGTATGTCTCTCGCCTTGCTCACAACCTCGTTCCCCAACACACAGATGCCACTTGCACCCAAGGACCACCCTGCACCACACCCAGCTTAGAGCAGCGCAGCTCGGCTATGGCTGCCTGCTCCTTCCAGCTCACCCGTGAGCGCGTGAGCGCTGGCCAGCTTCTAGCGCAGCAGCGCTCGCGCAGCATGCAGCCAGCACCCGAATGCCGAATGAGGAGGCAGGCCCTTTGCTATATCGAAGTGGCCTGCCTGCGTCCAGTCCCAGGAAGCTTCCACTAGGCCCCGGTAGCCTGAGGCTCAGCACGATCGAGAACATGCCTGGGGCTTGATGTGGTTGCATGTGCCCAACTGCCTTTGGCATATGTTTGGCCCAGTACCCGTATCCAGCCCAGGGCCTGCTTTCCATTCATTCACACAGGCGGCCCAGGGCCTGGGTTCTCTCAACCAACTGGCGCAGCGCAACTGCCTGAATTTCCTTAGTTGCGCAGAGGCCGAAATAAGGCCCTGAGGGGCCTCGTCGAGCCTGCCTTCACTTAGGGCGGCCGACAGGCTCCCAAAAAGGGGCCGAATGGGGCTCATAGAGGCAGTGGCCTCGCACTAACGACCTCTGTGTCCTTGGCTGAGGTTCGTGGTGCCTTCTAAGCATAGACTCTTTAACCCATAACTCTTATCTAACGGGAACTTCCTACCACGATCTACTTAACCAGCGTACCTAGGCTTCCAAAGTCATTGTACAAACGAGAGCTGCTCTTCTAGAGGACTCGTGAATATTGTACGAGTCGCTGGAACCACTAATGGAACTCAGAATGGGACTTGGGCCTAGGATCTGAGACTTGGGACTAGGACCTGGGACTTGGGACTGATACCTGGGACTCAGGAGTGAGACCTGGGACTTGGGACTAGGACCTGGGACTCGAGACTGGGACCTGGGACTCGGGACTCTGTGAATCCTTTCAAATGCATGAGAAGGGCAACCTGACAGTTAATCCTGCTGTAACAGGGAGCAAGCAATGCTGTTCGGGGATGCTCCCCAGAATGGATATGGAGCCAGGGCCATAAGGACTTGTTTGGGGGGGGGAAAGGGTGTCTGCGAGCCACTGTGGCTGACGGTTCATTTTCAATTTCATATAGTATGTATGGTATCATCCGCTGTGAAAAGATGCCAGTTACTAGTGGTGCAGCAGCAGTTAAATGAATCACACTCTGTCAATTCGCCTGAGTGAACAATTTGATGACAATGATGAGGTTGTTCTTGTTTATCCAGCACAGACGGAAAGGTGACATTTCTATATATACACTGTGCCACTTGAGGATTTTTTTTGAAGCTGTGACACCCGTGATCAAGGAAAGAATGATGCAAGAGGGAGGTGATAGAAGCAGATGAACCTCCCCTTTGGTTTGATTTAAGAATGTGTAGAAAACTAAGAAAAGAAAATCTGGAAATCTTAGTTTTGTCACGGGCCTGAACTAGAAATGGTTTGTTTGCGGCTGCTTCAGCATTGCGGGAGTTTGAGAGACTGGCTATGATTATTCATTACGTCACACTTCGCAGCACTTGCAAGAAAAAGGTAACAAACCATCATCCTTTTTTGCTCTCTTAATGTTGGTGGTTTCTTGATAATTGTTACGATCCTGGCCAGTTTCGAAGTATACATTCATCAGAAAGTACAATGCCGTCCAATGGCAAAAAGAAATGAATGAACTTGAGAGGAGAGAGAGGTGTAATGACCTGCCAAAAACACAG